GCTGGAGCTCCCTAAGCTGATGAGCTCACCAAGGGGAGAGAAATAGAGCAGAGCAGGTAAGGACGGAGGGCAGGGTCTTGCAGAATCTCTGTAGCCATGGGCATAAAAGGAGTTAGCAGGAGTCATGATCAGTACAGCAGGAAGAGAATGAGGTGAAGAGAGGGATTTCTCCAGAAGAGGGTGATAAACAGTACCTAATGTTATGACAATGTCAAGGCAATGACAGATGTGAGCAGATGAGGAACTTCTGGGAAGCAGATGCAGGGGGGCCCTGATGAGTGACGGGACGGAGTGACTGGAGGCTGCCAGTGTTGGTTTCTTCTGCCTTTTACCTCCTTGTCCTCACACCAGACTCATGTCATTCCTGGCCAATGCTCAGATAAGCTGAAAACAGAAACCAAGGCATCCAACTGTCTTCTCAGCCATGTCAGAGAGGAGTCACTGAGAGGCTGCATCATACCTGAGGAACACAGGCACTTCCTGGGTAAAAGACTCTCAGAGCAAAACTGCAAGAATGCCATACTCTGCCTTCCTAGGATATCCACCAAGTGGCCTCAATTCTCTCAATGGAAAGAGCCACCCTCGAAGAGCAATGTGCAATGATGCCTGGAAGTGAAAGCCCTGTTCCCGGGATGATCCGCTTCCAGGCCACCACCCAGCAGACCAGGCCTCGATGCCAAGAACTTCAATTTTCACTTTGCTGCTGAAATGAGTCAAACTCTATGGACCAATTCAGCAGGAAAGAGTGAATCAGTCTGGGCACGTGCACAGAGCAAGCAGAGCACGTGTGTGTGCATGTGTGACGCATACATGCGTGTGTGTATGTGGTGTGTGTATAGCATGCAAAGCCCGTGACTGTGATTACCATAATGGATAGCTCACCCACGCAGTAGCAATTTCCTGGCCCCAGGTTACTCAGGAATAAGAGTCTCCTCTTGGGAGACTGTGTCTGAGAAGAGGTTTCAGCAGCTTCCCAGCTGCTCCCACCCAAACCTAGGAATCACCTTTCACTCCTTTCTGCTCCTCAATGTCCCATCCATGGTACCTCCTGTGGCACCCAGCAATTCTTTCCACAACACATCCCACATTGGTCTATTTCTGCCTGTGGCCACTTCCACCCTCACCCTAGCCAAGGTCACCTTATTCCTGGATTCTGCCCTCCTAACTACTCTTGGTTTCCACTCTTGGTCCCCACCCCCTCCCAATTTGTTACCCACAAACTAGCAGCAGTGTTGAAGGCACAGAAACCAATGAGGCACTGTGTCTGTCTCATGTCTGTCTCCTGTATGACCATGCAGTTCACTTAGGATACAATCTGACTCCTCCAGGCTATGAGCCCTACACATGAGTCTCCTAGCCCATGAGGCCCAGCTACACTGACCTGTAGGTGCCATGACTCTAGCAAGCTCATTCCTGCTGTGGGCCCCTGTATATCTGCATGGCCATGGGCCCCTGCATGGCCCCTCTCTACCTGAACTACTCATCCCCTTGTCTTAGCATGCTGCTTCTTGTCATTTAGGCCTTGAGGTAAAGGGCCTCATTTCACTGAGGCCTCCCCTAAGCACTGATGCCAAAGCTGATACCCAGTCCTTCTCCATCATACCCTCCTGTTTTAGTCTGCATTGCTTTACTGCTGTCTCACAGGTGCTGGTTCATTACCTCACCACTCACCTGCCATCTACTGATTGCTTCCTGTGCCAGCCAGATGAGGCATATGTCATTCTCCCTGACCAATGCCTATGTCCCCCAACAACACAGAAGCCCATGAACATGACCTCAGCTACCGCCTCTGGACCTAGCATAGAAGAGGCAATTGATAACATGCATCATTTGCAGAATGAATGAAGACCAATAAGGTGATGCATAATCAGGAAATCAGAACTGGCCAATACAACTTCTTGATTTGCTTTCATAGGTCTGAGGCGGCCAATATTCCAAAGTGGCCCCAGTGCTGGGATAAATCATTTCCTGGCTAGATTTTTCTGGGCCAGCCATGACTCTCTGAGTGTCCGGCTAAGATTTATTAAGGTTCTGCTGTGTACAGACCTGTGCTCAGTGTCCATCTCTGTCCTGCCCAGCCAATCCAGTGGCTGGCATGCTGAGGTCAGCCATGAATAGGCCAACAGTCTGTCCTAACCTAGCCAATAGCCAACTGACCCTCACCAGAGCTCATCTATGGAGCAGCTACGTGGCAAGTCTCCTCCCACACTTGTAACCCTCTTCTTTCCAGGTTTCCTAACTATTCAGGGGCTCAGTGCAGCTCCCATGGATAGCACCTAGGCAGCCACCCAGGCTCTGTGCCAGCCTCACCATGCCACCCTCAGCTCTCTAGCCCCAGTTCTCCCGCCCCACTTCCCAATAGGTACGTGCCTATTTGTCCCCGCTTATGCCCAGCCTACTACTGTCGTAGGTGACCACATTACAAGCCATTCACCAATGGCCTAGCAGCCTGGGGGTCCAACAGGGTTGTGGTGCTGGCAGTTACCAGCTCTGGTATCTTGGACCAAGAGGTTACTCTATCTCCCAGAACTTTTGTTTCCTCCTTTGCAAACAAGGACTATAAAGGCATTAGCCTTTTGGGGTTTTTAAGGCTGGTTCCTCCAGTGCCCCCTGCTCCTCCCTGCTCTGTGAGCCCATGAATTCTCACCAGTCTCAGCTCAAGGGACAAGGTGGGGAAGAAGAAACAGCTATTTGGGTGCAATGATTCTATGGCTATCTCATTACTGGAAATTAGTAGGTTGCAATTCAGAACAAAAAATGTACAGTTCATGCAATAAATCTACGCTGGGTGGGCACAAAGGATACAAATAAAAATTAGATACCATGAAGGAATGTAGTCAAAAGGGGAAGCAGGCTGTAAACAGCCCACAAAACAGATGAGGGTCCACCTGCCAGTGCGCTCAAGCATAGCCAATCCAGCATGGTATGAAGGTTAAGGGCAGGAACTCTGCAGCCAGGCTGCTTGGGTAGATCCCAGCTCTGTCCCTCAGCTGTGGGGCCCTGCAGAAATCACTCTACCTCCCTATGCCTCTCTTTCCTCATCTGTGAGTGAGACTAACAAGAGGATCTGCCTCTGTGAGGAGCTGCAGGGGCTGAATGAGCTAATATACATGAGGCATTTAGGGCAGAATGCCATGTGTTTTTATTATGGCAAATCCAGAAGGGAGAACGACTAACCCACGTGGCCTGCAGGGAGCTGGAGAAGGGCCTGTGCCTTCCAACAGATCCTGGGTGGGTGTTCCATTCCAGCTCCCTGAAGCGCTATGGGAGGTTTATTTTCATTGCAGTCAAGTTTCACCAACAGCAGTGGAGATTCAGCCACCCCTGTTGGTGCCTGTCAAGCCAAACAGAGTCTTGGTGACCTGGTGCTGTCCCACAGTCCCAGCAATAGACAGCATCCTTTGGAAATCACCATCCACTGCTTTACCCACTGGCCCTGCCTGTTCCTGAGCAGTGCCCGTCTCTCTACGCAGGGCCGTTAGACAGTCCTAGCTGCTTGTGCTGATTCACTTCTCCCACCCTCACCCCCGTGGACTATGCAGCTGCTGGAGGTCCCTAGGAGTTACAGCATTGCTAACAGTAAGGTCTGTGCATGTGAGAAGATTCAAAACTTAATCCTCCAGCTCCTCACACAGCTCCTAGCAGTCCAAGAAACAATAGCAGCAAGTAAATAATGGAAAATTCGTTTGAAAAAGAATCTCTAAGCAACTTTTGAAAAAAGCCGCACTGCTCAGATGAACTTGGAATCATGGCACTGGCAGCAGCTGCAGAGACCAGAAGCTTCCAAACTTGCTTTCTGTCTCCAAAGCCATCGTTCAGTTGCAATTTGCCCAGAACCCAACACATCGCATGGACACAAACGGGGTTCCTCTGGGGGAAACAGCTTCTGAGCTGCCTGCATGGCACCCTCCCTCCTCTCCCTCAGCCCCTGGGAGCCCCTAGGACCCTTAAGGCTCCACAAAGCACTGACAAAAAGCTACGAATCGAAGAGGGCCTTCCCTGTAGAGATGGAAAAACGAGTCCCACAGAAGTCCCACTCTGAATGGTGCCTGTACGCAAACCACGTTTTTGGAATCCAAGCTAATGCTTCTTCCCCCACTCTGCTAGGGCTAGATCTGCCGAAAGTTGCAGTGTAAAGAAACAAGGCTCATTCCTGATCACCTACACCATAATCCTTAAGTATTTTAAAGGACACTACACCAGCCAAGCAGGAAACAGCCCAGCTCGACAGACTGGCAGAAAGCAGGTCGGAAATGAGTTGTAGAGGCACATCTGACAATTCCATACAATTTCCATCAGCTCTCTGGGACATAAACAGGTCTTGAAAGGCCTGGGCTGTGCGGCTGTGAAAGACCTGGCGGGGGCAGGCCAGGAGGTGAATGCTAATGAGCTATGGAAATAGCAATTACTTCCCCCATGTCAGGCACTGTGCCAAGCTAAGGAGAATAAAGAGGTCTGAGATATTTTTAAAGTACTTTTACGGCAGAAAAACTTTCCTTCAGACTCAATTATATAACTATCAGGCTCCACCTCTGAGCTGAAATTATCCATGGCTTCAGGAAAAAAATCATTTTTTCCTACATGAGTGTCACAGGTTTCTCCAGAGAAACCCAGAGCTATATGACCAGTGACCCAGGGCAGCTGCAAATCGTCAGCCGAGAGATCTTCCCAGGGGCAGTTTGGAAGCTGCCAGAGACAAACACCGGCCAAGCGGAGGGCAGAAGTCATTTGCTGACCCGGCCATCACAGATGACGTTGTGGGGTTCAGGAAGATCCCCTCCAGGGGCTTCCAGCACCAGCCACATCAGGGCCCTCACTGCTCCCTTGAACTAAAATGGGGCTGGAGTCACTAAAGCCATGAGATACCCAGGGAACATTTCATTAACTCGAGGTAACTCCATCCTTAACAGAGTACAGACAGTCAGAGAAAGCCCAGGGCTTAAGCAAAGCAGATCTTTAGCAATGAAATCAAAGGGGTGGACTTTAGGAGATTAACTTACAGCCCAGGTCTTTGTCAGCCTGAAGATGGGAGCACTTTGTAATGCTGACACCACAGACATGAGAGAATGAAGGTTGTTGAGTTCTAGAAGTTTCTGGAAAAGAAAAGATATGGAATACATTATTTTGCTGCTATAAACAACAGAACAAAAACACGCTCAAGTGTTACCAAATGTTGTCGTATTTATGAAATTCAATTACACTTAAAAATATCTCAGGAAGAAAATATAGTTCTAGGCAGTTCATAGGAACCATATGCTATGTTTCTCTCCAACTGTCAAAAGGTGAATCTACATCTAAAAGCCTTGCAAAATTTCATAAACCAACTTGTCTGGTTGCTGGACAGAAATGTGGCTGGGGATAAGATTTGACAATCCCTTTACGTTTTTTTTTAAGATGAATCTGAACCGTGTCTCAACAGGCTTCCATATGCTACGACCCTGGCTGTGACAACAGCATCAGGAGGTTCTACTGTGATTACCTTAACACCCCAAGAGGAGGAGGCAGGGGAGATGTTATCAGTCTGTGTAATCCCTCTCAGCTGGCAAGGCAAAGCTCCAGCTTCCCATTTGACCATGCTCCTTTGAACCAGACCCCAAATTAGTGGGAACATTTGGAGTCAATTCAGTCTCAGACAAGCTTCTTACCAGGGATGGCAACGGAATGAGACACAGAAGAGAGTAAGTACAGAAAAATGTAACTGCTCTGTTCTTGGTTTGAAGCTGAGGGAAACTTGCTCACAGGACGGGGTCCCATCTCTCCTTGGGAGGCAGTGAAGCATGGGTTAGTGAGCAGGCTCTCTGGAAGCCAAAGCTTTGGTCCAATCCCAGCACTCACTATTTATGCTTCCTTCAGCAAGTTACCTGGCCCTTTTGAGCCTTGGCGCCCTCATAGTTACAATGAAGAAGGTAACCATGACACCGACACTTTATAAGACAGTGCAGCCTAGACCAGCACTTGGGCCAGGGTGAGTACTCAGTGGGAGACCAGCCTCAGTCTTCTTGGCTGGAAAATGGGTCGTCTCCTCCCCTGCCCTTTGCCTCAGGCATGTCCGAGAATGCCACGTCCTCTAATATGATTCTCCTGACAATGTTCTAAATCCACAAAGGCCACAGACTCACTTCTGGGTTTCCACAGTCTGTGTGTGCCCTTTGCACTTGAACTGTACTAGCTTTTTACTTGCTTCTTTCTCACCCTGGACCTTGTGTTCCCTGAGAGTGGGGACAAAGTTTTATCTGCCACTATGTTCCCAGTACCTAGTATTGCCCCCAGCACACAGTAGTTAAAATGAATAAACAAATGAGAAGCCAGTAATACTGGGTCCTCCTAGCTCTGTTCCTGCTCAGAAATTTCACCCTGACCACACAAGTTAATGCTTCATTTCATACATCTTGTAACAATCTCTAATTGTTTCCTGTGTATAAGAATAGATTCTCTGAGTAAGCTGAATTTCATTCTAGTATCTGAGTTGCTGTGCCTGTCACAGAATTTCTTTTTAAAGCCAAAAGGCCTGAGGGAGATTATTTAATCCACACTTTCCATTTATGTATGTATGTATATATGTATGAGGGAGTGAACCCAGGGCCTTTGCACTGAGCTACATTCCCCACCCATTTTGATTTTCTTCTAGTTTTGAGACAAGATCTCACTAAGTTTTCCAGGCTGGGCTTGAACTCATGAGTCCCCTGCCTCAGCCTCCCAGAGTGCTAGGATTACAGATGGGTACCACTATGCCAGCTCCCTTCCATTTTACAGATAGGAAAACCAAGGCCAGAGAAGGGAAGGGATTCTTCCTGAGATATACCCAGAATACAGAGCCAGCATGACATTTTACAGTAGGAAAAGGCAGGGATGAAGGAGGAACCATTTGGGTGGGGGCCATAAACTCATTTCCAAATTGCAAGTCCCCGGAGCACCAGAACCACATCCTACCTTTTCTTCTGGCCAGGGACAGAACTGACCCACAGCAGTAAGTGTCATTAAATCCAACACCAGTTCCAAGTATGTCACGAGAACAAGAGGGACACAATCATAACCACTGCCCTGGTTATGATTAAAACTACTGTGTTTATAGATGGATGCACTTAACCTCCTGGGAGGACAGTAGAGCAGCTCCCCAGAAGGCAGGGGCATGGCTTTAATTCCTACCCTGTACTGGTGGCTGTGGGCCTGAGCATGGATGCTTCTCTCTAGGCCTCCCCTTTGCCCTCTACCACTGGGACAAAACTCTGGGGCACCAAAGGCAATCATATCGGTAAAGCAGCTGTTCCACTGCCAGGTTCTGAAAGGCCTCAGCCCAGGGCTGCTTTCCAAGGCTCTGGGTTAGAAAACAATACATGCACACACGAAGTAAGCAGGGAACAAGGCAGAACAACACTGCTGCAGAGAGCCCAGCAAGCCCAGGTGGTGGGAGCAGGGCAGGGGGAGGAGCTGCCGAGTGTGTGTAATCCAGGAAGCCATGGGCAGGCACAGCCTGAGCTCGCAGAGATGAGGGGAGAGGAGGGAAAAGGTGGGCCCAAAGAGCAGCACAGACAGACTCCACTAGGCCAGGGGCAGGGGAAAGGGTAGGGAGTCACGTGGCCTTAGCTCAGGATAGGGTAGGGTGGGCTCTGCTGATGAGAGGCTGTGATGAGATCACAAGCACTGGTGCTAAAATGGCCCCCCAAACTGTGGGTTGGAGGGGCGTGCCACTCTGTGAGTGCACACACAAGGAACCAGGCTGTGGGCAGCCAGGCACCGGCTCTGCCTGGGGAGGGCAGGCCGCAGCCCCCGCCCTTGTCTGAATCCTGAGCAGCAGACCCAGACCAAAGTACCTCCCAAAGTACTAAAGAAACACATTTTTGAGACAAAAAAGGGAAGAAAGGGAAGACGAGAGGAAAGGAAGGAAAAATAATAAAACAGCTTACCTTGGCTATTTTCACAAAATGGCTCAGGATTTCTGCCCTTATTTTTAAAGTCTGTGCTGTTAGAATTTCTCGTACAACCCAAAAACTGACCTGTAGAGTCAAATACACATATGTACACATACAAGCACACACCAGAAAAGCTGTTAAATGCTGGGCCCACCCATACCACCCACCACCGCTCAGAGATTTCCAAGGTCTAGGAAACTGAGAGCACGGTCTGGTGTGGTCTGAGGTCAAGAGGCGGAGAGTTCCCTGTGGCTTCCAACCAGGATGGGTCTCCTGTTTCTAGCACCCCACTTCAGAATATACAGTGGTGCTAGAAGGCAGCATTTTCCTGGTCATGCAGGGAGCACTGGACCTCTGTGACACATGGGTGTCTCTGAAAGTGCTGCAGGACACTGTGCGATGAATGAGCCTGGGCTCCTGCTCAGAAGGACTGAGCAGGGGAGACAGTATGGATGACGGGAGGATGGCCAGACAGATGGACAAAGTGTCAAAGAGATGCTCACATTGAAGTAGCACCCAAAAGGTCCATGTCCCCAGCTGGGCTCCAGACAAAGACGGATTACTATACGTGCACAACTGCAGTAAATTTAATTTTCTAAGACAGGTTTGTCTTTCTCCAATAATAAATGATCCAAAAAGCATCTTTCAAAGTTCCATAAGGTAATGCAGATTTGGGGTATGTTTTTCTGGAGACAGCATGTGCCAAAAGGGAATGCTGGTAGCTCTGGTTCAGAAGCTCATTCACGCTTGACCTCTCATGTACATCAACAGCCCCCGGCCCCTGGGTCTGTTGATGGGAACAAGAAAGTCGTCTGTCAGTGTAGGGCTCACTCATGGTACCTCAAGGAAACACAGAAAGGCTCAGCCAAGAAACGATGGGAAACAGTTAGTTTTTCAGGCTTGTATCTTACTGCCATCACAAGAGTTTTATGTGAAAAGCAGATGCCCAAGACTGCTGTGACAGTGCTGCAAAGAAGGTGGAGGGCTGGCCAAAGTATGGGGACGTAAAGAATGAAAAGGGAGGACAGGTTTACAGAGAAAAAAACAAAAAAACAAAAAAACAGTGAAGGAGAGCCCAGAGGTAACAAAGCAGCTTATGCTGCAATAAAATATATTCTTGTAACTGAAATACTGTCACTTTTCAAAGAGGCAACAAGGAAAAAGAAAACAAGACTCAACAATTTAATACTGAGCAGGAGTGTCAGAGAAATGTCCTTTCAGTGTAATTATCTGTGGTTGCCTCTAGGACATGCCTGGCTTTCCATAGAATCACTTATACCTAGGAATTGCCAAAATTAGGTTCAGACTCAAATGTTTACTAGCCAGTTATGGAAGAAAGTTTTTCTGGATACCAAGCAGTAAACCAATAAACCTTACATTTTAGCATGTACACTTTTTATGCTATATAATCTTAAGTGTATATATATTAAATTATATATAATTTAATACAGTCCTGTATGCCAAACCTCATACATTTTTCTGGCATAATTATGGAAGGTGGCAGAGCTGAGTTTGGATCTGTAGCCCACAGCACGCAGAGGCAGCTCGGAGTCTACAATTCAATTCAAAAGAGCTGCATGTGGCCCCACTGGGTGCAGGTTCCAGACCTTGCCCAAGACGGAGGTGACCAATGAAAGACACAGAGCCCTCCGGAAATCTCTCCTGGAAGGCAGCTGTGATCAGGGCTGTAAGTTCAAAGCAGGTGAAGTGGAGGATGAGGGCAGCAACACAGGAGAGCAGGCCCTGAAAGATAGGAAGACCTGACACAGTAGCACAGAACTGTGCTGTGACTGTATACACCAGGCCCAGGATGGCTGAAGCTGCCAGGGACCCACAGCAAGCATCTTCTCAGCTAAGATGCTACTCTAGAAGGGGAATGCCTTTTTCTCAGCTAAGATGCTACTCTAGAAGGGGAATGCCGGGCTAAGAATGCCAGGCTAAGATGCTACTCTAGAAGGGGAATGCCGGGGCCTTCCCAGTGGAACGCAGATGAGTCTTCCTGCCAGGCAGGGCCACCCACAGACATAATGGTCTCAGGCAGATCTGCAAGGCCAGGCAGGCCATGATGAAGGAGATGCAGAAAAGGGGCAGATGGAACAGACAGGACAAAGGCAGAAGCAGTAGTTTTACACATTTTTATTCTCATTTCTGACCATAACACTTAACAGAAGCTTGGCATGGAAAACAAGAGAAACAGAAATAAGAACAAAAGACAAAAATCATTTGTAATCTTGGTCTCATGTACAGGCCACTGTGGTGGACTGTGATCTTCTAGGCTTTTTTCCCCCATATATAGATCATGTGATTGTCTTTTAAATTAAATTGGTATGTATTACTCGTATATCTCAAACAGTTTTGAAGTAAATATTCTCTTACAAGTTTTGCAGCTTCAAGAGGTTTCACCACAGAAGTGTATCATCATTGGTGGAAGTACCCCTATTATTGGACAGGTCATTTCATATTGTTCTGTTGTAATTAAAATGCTGAAGTGAACGTCTTTACACATCTTTGTATACTTTTTACTAAGATTTAGGATAAATGCCAGAAGGTGGAATGGACAAAAGTGGGTGTACATATAAAGAACTTGCCCTCCAGAAGATCTGTTTATTTATCTGTCAACAAGTTTAAGCAGATCCATGTTCTTAGACATAGGCCAGCACCAGTTATTAAAATTCTTTTCTGATTTATCAATGGGTAGAATGGTATCTCGCTGCTTCTATCTTGTATTTCTTTCATGACCATCCGGTTAATTTTTTATTTTGTTCTTTTTTTCTCAGTTAACATTTCCTGTTTCAAATATTTATAGGCCACTTGTCACCTGTATTATTTGCCTTGCAGTTGCCTGCTCAGGTCTCCACCCATCTATCTATTGGGACATCTGTCTTCTTTATATTGTTTGATAGTTTATTGCATATTAAAGGATATATATTTTGTGAGCCATAACTTGTTTTTGTTTTTGTTTTTTGTTTTTCTCCGGTACCGGGAACCGAACTCACGACCTTGCGCTTGCCAGGCAGGCGCTTTGCCGCTGAGCTAAATCCCCAGCCCTGTGAGCCATAACTTGTATCAAGAGTATAGAGGAATGGGACTCTTGGATACTTCTTGGGGGAGTAGAAATTAATACAAACATTTTGAAGAACAACTTAAATATATGTTTCAAGATACCTCAGATATATTCTCTATAAAATATTTACCTCATAAAAGCTCATAATTATGGAAACACATATGTATAAGGACTCACAGACACTGATTTTGAAAGGGAAAAATAGGAAAAATGCCCATGAATAGGAATTTGGTTACATATGTTATGATACTGCCTCATACTCTAGAAGGAAGTCAACATGCTCACCCCACTCTTAATGGGTACTGTTTTGCTCTACCTTCTTAAGTATTTACATAAATTATTTGAAACTCTTTTGCCTGGAGCATTTGTCTATTACCCTCCATTTATTTGTTCAATCATTTAAATCAATATGAACTCATGGATATTTATATTGTATTTGGGATTATAATCCAGTCCTATGTTATTCTGTTGTCAAATAGTTTCTGCTTTGGCCAGTCACTGCAAGCTCTTTCAGGTGGCCCTGCATCCCTCTGACACATCCAGCACTGTTGGTTTGTCAGTGTGAGCACTTCCTTTCTGGCACTGCAATATGCTACATGCTCGTCTCACACATTTCTTGCCCCAGTCCTAGAATCCAAGATGTACACCCAACAGGTGCTAAGCATGCTTGCTGCTCTCGGATATCAATGCTTCTAGATCCTCTCAGCCAGTTGACTAAGAGAGAGGGAGTGGGAGTGGCGGGAGGGACAGAACTAACCTATTGTCTGTAACTATTTTTATCTGTGACCACTATACTAAATATAACCTCATACTGATACCTCCAACTCCGATTCATTCTATATGGATCATTCTAACCTCCCTTGTCTGTAATTTCCCATTTCACCAAAGAGAAATCATGTGCCATTCACATCCTCAAATGCTCAGCTCCAGTATAAGCATGTCAGAATTGTTAATTATCCCTCCTGGGAAACAGTTTTATCAGAAGAGTACCACGCTTGTGTGTAGTCCCTCCTAGTTTTCAGTCTTACAGGCTCTACTTTCATTTAAATTACTTAGGTCAGCAAGTTTTTCCTTCACCCTCCTCAGAGAAGTTGTTTCATACACTTACAATTATATAATTGTATATACAGTATATTTAGCTTTCCTTTGAGAGGACCTCTCAGTCTCTAAGTTGAATTTTTTTGTGGTGCTGGGGATCAAACCCAGGGCCTTGTGTATGCAAGGCAAGAGCTCTACCACTGAGCCACATCCCAAACCCCTAAGATGAATTTTTCTTAGTTTGCATATACTAAAGTTTCCTCTTGGTGCTGTCAAGTTCTGTGAGTGTGCATGAATACACTGAGTCTCTATACACCATTACAGTATCTTTCAGAATGGTTTCAGTCTTAAAAAAAAAATCTTCTATGCATCATCGTCCAGAACCCCTGAAAACCACTGACTTATTATCCTTATAGTTTTACCTTTTCCAGAATGTAAGAAAAAGAATCTTCCATAGGGCGTCTTTCCCACCAGCTGTTTTCACTTACTATATGCATTTAAGATTCATCTACACTTGTTCACTCATTTTTTTAGATGAATACTATTACATTGCATGAATTTACCATAATTGGTTTATTCGTAACCTACTGAAAGACATCTCATTTCCTTCTATTTCTGATAACTATGAATAAAAGTGCCATAAACATTTCTGTGTTAGCATGTATATATAAGTGTTCAAATTTGGGTAAATATTGGACTATGTCTGTTCCATTCTGTACTCCCACCAACAATGAAAGAATGAGTTTGTGTTGCTCCAAATCATTGCCAGCAATGTGTATTGATAGTTTTTCTGTTTTAGAAATTCTAATAGTGTGTAGTGTTTTGCATTTTCCTGGGGATAAATGAGCATCTTTCAAGTGGTTAGTTCCCATCTGTATATTTTCTCTGATGAGGAATCTGTTGAGATCCTTTGACCACTTTTTATTGGACTGTTTTCTCATTGAATTTTACTAATATATTTTAAAAATAAGTCCTTCATCAG